CTGGAAATGACTGATGGTTTCCAGGGCCTCCTGCGGTTGATATCATCTTGTTGTGGTAGGCCCGGCCCGGGCCCAAGTAGCCTAGATGACACAGCGAGAAGGAGACCATTGTAGTGAGTTAACCGGTTTACAGCAAGGAGCCCCTTACATGGCAGCTGGTTCTGGAGTGATAATGGTCCCTCTCCCAGCCTGGTTCAAAGGTCTGCATTAATCCTCTTCAAAGGGGTTAATGAAAAGGGGGCAGTTTCACTGCCCTCAAGACCGAGTGGGTCCCTGTCAAGGCTGCAGTGACTCCTTCATTGACCCTCTGCTGTCACATCAAGGAGCATGAAAGACACACGTCTATTCACTTGTGCCCTTCCCTGTTAAATATCCAGCACACTTCTTGATAGTAAACCAGAGGGAAAGAACCTGAACGAACGCAAGTTCTCCTAACCCAGACTGACTCTTTATTAGCCTGGCCTAGTTCACTTACCATTTGGAGTTAAGCATGGGTTTCACATGATGTCAATCCAACCAGACATGTTCATTACAGTCTGTAAGTGTTTAAAAAGTAAACACTCTCCCCAACACCATTTCAGTAACACCTGAACAACATTAACAAGATGGCCGCTAGCAAAAGCAAGCTATTGTGTTTCTATATTCCAGGCTCCTATTGTGACGTTTAGGAACCGTTCCTTTTCTCCAATAATACCAAAATCAAGCTCAGCTATCAAAAACCATCCTCCTCTTTTCATGTGAGAGTCTCTCTAATTCAATAGACAACCCCTCTCCCCTGCAATAGACCATGTATTAAGTGGTAACCATGTGCCAAATTCTATAAAGGACATAATATCCCAGTATTACCTACTGGGTTCACAATCTATACCACTGCTGACTACAAGGGCTAGAAGCTGTCACCTGAGAATTTTCTGCACTTGGAGGTGGTCCAATGAAAAATTCTTCCCCATCAAGACTGTTAAGTCTGAGCCAGCAATATCTCCTTGAGAATCTTGTTCAGGTGACATTTTACCACTGCAATGATAGCAGTAAGGGGATACAGTACAAAAAAAGAAAATCAATCCTAAAAATGCCACATATTCCAAGAGAATCAGAGTGCCTGCCTGTTCACCGCCTGACAATCACAGTCTTCAGCAGCCCACAGCCTGGCCCTTCGGTCACGCCTAGGACCATTAGCTGCCTCTGTCCCTGAAATTAACCTATAAAAAGGGCATTACACTCACAATGTGCAGGGCAGATCTGAATTAAATCTCTATTAATCCCAACGTGGAAAATTCTGAACCCCCTCCTCTTCCCCCAAGTCTTTCCCTTTTTCAGTTGCCAGAACAATAACAAAAAGTGCTTTTCTTGGGATTATTTCATGTTGTCTCTCTGCTCTTCTCCCCTCCCCTCCACCTCCCCACCAAGTCTAAAATACTAGGGATCACTGGCCTCAAGGGTGCTAGTCTGTTACCTTAGAGACTGTTTCTTTACAAGGCAATAGAGTACAGAGGGCATGCCTTTGCTGCTTACCTTGGCAACCATGAAACGGTGAATGCTGTTCTCATGAATGCAAGTCATTCACTGCCATCTGGACATGCCCACAGGTATAAACATTTTTTTCATGAAAGGACCAGGGAATACACATTGCATCAATAAATCTCTTGAATGACAAACAAAGCCATCCCATATGTTGGAACAGCTATACCACATTAAAATTAACGTTAAGTCTCTAACGGCATTGCTTCCAGATAAGCTCAAACTGAATGTTCAGTTTATACATCCTTCAGCCTTATCAGACAAATAGCATGAGTCAGGTTAGGGAATGAGGCATGAACAAGTAGGTAGAAAGAGGTTGTCACTGTAAAATGGAAGACCACTGAGTTTGACCCAAGAATAAACATACCACCTTAAAGAGTCTAGGAGAGGCTATTCATTTCTTAGTAGCATTTCTCTAGATGGAGACCTAAGAGTAGGGATTTTTTTTTTCCCTTGGCTTGGTGAAATAAGATTGGCACTTACCCCATTCAAAGGCATTTTTATGTTCTTCATAGACAAACATTACAGATGAAATTCTTAACATACTTATAAGAACACAGACTTTGTACTTCCTAGGGGGTCGGAGGTGGGGAATAGGGTGTAACAAGGGCTCTCATGTTTTCCTGTAAACAAAGTTGCTATGAACCTTGGAATTCAGTCATATTCAGCCTTAAACTTCCATTTTTCCATCTTTTGTCTGTATGTTGTCACACTTCGGTGTGAAACACTTCAATAATTCACTAGTTCCTCACGTATGATGTCTTTTATGTATTTATATCATGCACATTCACACACACACACAAACAGAAGTGAAATACATAATTCTAGCCACACTTAAACTTATATAACCAAAACAAAATTTCTCCCATGAACCAATACTTCCCATGGAAAGAGTTGAGGGGAGAGAAATTCTAGCCAAAAAACAGTTGGAATATTCCTAATGTGACCAAAAAAAAAAAAAAAAAAAAGGGAACAGGAAGGAAGAGCCACGAATGGTGGCCAGAGGACAAGCAGGTGTCAGAGTTTTCCTAATTTTGCCACTTTTGAAGAAGACACATTTTCTAAAAATCATTATGGACCAATGAAAGAACCAGGGAGAGGGCCAGGTAAATTTCTACAAAAATTACATCACCCCTAGCACCCCTGCCACAACCACTGATTAATCTGGTCTGGTCTCAAACATGACCTGGGATGGAATTGGGAAGTTTGGAACAACATTTCCTCTTGCCATAACAAGAAGTGATATTTTTTTCCTTCCTTGATGATAAAGTTTTCCAGTTCTGTAAAAATCTTTGTTTACCAGATAGAAAAATGTCCACTTTCAAGCTGTGAAGTTGCCCTTGGGCTTTTTTTTTCCCCTCTCCCTTCCCCCTCTGCCTTTTAAAAGTTCAGGATGTCTCAAACAGTAACTGTTACATTCTGTCTAGCAAGTCTGGACTGTGGACAGTGATCTAACCTCTCGGAAAAAACATGGAGTTCACCCAAAAATTGAGAGAGACATTCTCTCGCCCCAGCCGCCAGCTCATAGGTTTCAAAGCCCTGGGACAGACCTCATGAATGGCTTGGGGCTCTGGTTTGTAAGCTGGCAGCGCCAACGCAAACACAGAAAGCACTTCAACAGGTATAAACAGCAGCCACACACCAGGCCAGGCCCCAGAAGGCAGGCAGTGAAAGGGGAGAAGCCAGGCCGCGGCTCCTGCCTGCGTCACTCTCCTTAAGCCTTCTCCTGTGTCTGGGGACGCATGGAAAAAGGGAAACTTCCTGGTGGGACTGCACGTTGAGGAAACCCGAAGTCTCACGTTAAGTGAATATAGAAATATCTTTCCTCTTGGAAAGAGAAAAGTCTTGCTGACGTGTATACACACACACACGCACACACACACACCACACACTCACACACACACCCCTCTGCAGCAGTAAGTCACCTATAATCATTTTGCTTTGCTTGAAAGCAGCAAAATTTGCCTTTGATAGGTTATGTGAAAAATAAAGCCATTTCTTTTTCCATTGGGTATTTTGCTCATTGGCCTTAAAATATCCTCAGCATCCACACCTCAAGGACTCTTCACACTCTTTTAAAACATACTTGGCTTTCAGGATGTTGACATCAACTGCTGGCCTCAGGCTTTCAACACTGACGGTCACTAATCTCAGAGGCACCAGCTCAGTATGTATGATTGTGCATTTGGAGAACCAAAGAGAATGTCCCCAAGATCATCATACTTTTTGGACATAAAGGTATAGAGTTCCCTGGGAGCATTACCTGTGCCCACGAAATTTTTAAACTGGACTATCAACCATTATAGATGTTACCCACTTATGTAACAATTTTCTAACAAGATGTCAGTATATTCCATTCCCCTGAGTTTATTAGCTAATATTATCTTCTTATAAACGGAATTGTTTAGGTTTATATTTATTCATGCTTATACCCTATTTTGTATTTAACTGCAATTCACTCAATAAACTTTATTTCGATAACTCTTCAGTTATTGTTTTTCACTCACTCACTCAAGTAGCATTTGTTGCTCTTACAGATATGAGCAGTTTACAACAAGTGTCGTAAGTATCAACATGCAGCATAAAATCTCTTTGGAAAAACGAACTTCAAAATTATACATTACAAAATTTGCCATTCAAAGTGCCTAAACCACTCAAATATTATCATTAACTGCCATTAAAATATCTAGGGAAGCACATACTGTGTTCTGAATTCCCTGCTGAATTTCATGGGGGTACAACCCACAGAAAACATGGTCTGTGCTCTAAAGAAACTCAGTACCTACCTGCATAGATTATAACATGTTTCACTTATTCCATGCTTTATATTTGGAAATTGAGACTTACATGAAATGAGCATTTCTCTAAAAGCCACAAAAATCAAGTATCATTGACTGTTGTAACTAACAACTAATAGAGCACACAACATGATTAATATAATTAATACTGCTCTATGCTATATATGAAAGTTGTTGAGAGAGTTAATTCTGAGTTCTCATCAGAAGCAAAAAAGATTTTTTCTTTCTCTTTTATTTTATACCTATATGAGATGCTGGGTATTCACTAAACTTACTGTGGTAATCATATGCTGCACAGCTTAAACTTATACAGGGCTGTATGTTAATCATATCTCAATAAAAGTGGAAGAAGGAAAAATAAAGATCCATCTGATGCTGAAAAAAAAACAAATAATAGAGAATGTATGTAGATATTTGCCACCCAACTTACAAATGACAGGATGGACCTGTAGGGCCATTCAAAAATAATTACTTTAATTATTAGCTCTGATTAGAGCTAAGTAGAAAAAATAAACTTTTGATCATGTGGCAATTGAACTCTGTCTTTCTAAGTTATCAAAATTCAATCATGTATAAAGTACTTCATAATAGGTTCATTGGTTTCTTTTGTAATTCTGTTTCTTAATTTAGCAATAACTTGTCCTTAACAACTCTAATAAACCTTCATAAGAAAGTGACCCTTACCTTGGTTTTGAACACTCTTGAATGACTTCTTAAATCTGGATGAAGTCATCTGGACCTTAAAATAAAAAAGTTTAGCATAATGAGATTTTTTTCTACTTACGGGTATACAGAGTTAATCAACTTTATAAAACTCTCAAAGAAAGATTCTTTCTGATGTATTTGTTAAATTTTAAAAAATTCATGCTTGATAGGCTCACTCACTGGTTGCACAATTGATTTAGTTATATTATGGAGCCAGCCTAGAAGAATGCATTTGAGTAAAATTAAATGTGCAGTACATTATGTTAACAGGACATGTGCTCTCAACAAAGAGTGAGAGGATGTAAGGAATACAGTGAATTGTGCCCTGCTTTTTACTTGGCTTACTCTGTTGCCCTCTGGGATCCTGATGGGAATCTAGATTTATTGAGTCCAACCTACATCAAGCATCTTGTGAGCCTGTTGACATATATCATCTCTTTTACCACTTACATAACAAAGCTATCCCTATGTGTATTGTTATCTTCTTATTTTAGACACAGAAACAGATTCATAGAGTATCATTCTCAATACCATACTGCCCGGTAAGTGATGGAGCCAGGATTCCAACCTGGTTATTCTAAGAACTGAGGTCTTTCCAATACATGTGCTCAATTCTTTACTCCAGACTTTGATAAAATTATATTTGTTTTCTTTTTAGAACTTCACAATTGATCATCTGGAAAAAAATGCTGAAAATACAGCCAAAACATTTCTGTAAAAGTGTAATGAGGGAAAACTTGTTTACCAGATTTCAAAAATGTACTAAAACTTAAAATAATTAAGACAATGTGGTATTGATTCAGAAAAAGGCTGATAGATCAAACAAATATTACAGGAGTCTGGAAACAGATCCATGCATATTAGCTGGGACCTTTTAGGTTACAATAGTACTTTAAGTCTAATTTGCTTAAGTAAAACAAAAAATGCATCTAGAAAACAAATAAAAAATGTAAAAAATAATCCATATACACCCATAATCCTAGCAGCAGTATTTACAATAACCAAAAGGTGGAAACAACCCAAGTGTTCATCAACAGGATAAATGTTATGTTCATGCAATGGAATTATTACTCGGCCTTAAAAAGGAAAGGAATTCTGACACATATACAGCATAGATAAACCTTGAAGACATGATGCTAAGTGAAACAAGCCAGTCACAAAAAGATAAATACTACATAATTCCACTTACATAAGGTACCTACAATAGTCAAATTCATACAGACAGAAAGTAGAATAGTGATTACCAGGTGCTAGAGGGATGAGAGAATGAAAATTATTGTTCAATGGGTAGGGAATTTCAGTTTCAGAAGACGAAAAAAATTCTAGAGATGGACAGTGGTGATGGTTGCACCAGAAGGTGAATATACAAATGCCACTGGGCTGTACATTTAAAAATGGTTAAAAGGGTAAATTTTATGTTATGTATACTTAACCATAATAAAAACCCATAGGAAAAATAGATGTATCTGGGATTACTGTTTAACTGGAATCAAGAAATCCTACATAGCCTGATCTCTTTTTCCATGCCTTTTCATTGCATTTCTCTGCACATTGATTTTACTTATCTTTACTACAAAATACATTTTCCTACATGGTAGAATGCACAAATGTCAAGTAGCCCCTGCGTCTTATACTGAGAGCTTGAAATTCTCTCTGGTTCTAAGCCCAAAACCCCAGAGAAGGGACTCATTGCCACAACTCTAATCAGGTACCATACTTGAACCAATTATATATGGTTTAAAGGGTAGAGTCACAGTGAACCAAGATGATGACTGTCATATAACTGACAGATACAATATGCTAACTTTTGGCCATCAAATTAACAAATAACAAAAAGGTAGCTAACAACCAGACTTGATAAAAATGTATAGAAACATCTTCCACTTCTGACTATGATGCAGTACTTTGCATCAGACCAATATTAGTACCAAGATACCTATATAAAATTGAGAAATGTATCTGAAAACATCTTGAAGGTATTTGCTTGAAGAGCAACCAAATCAGCCAGTATTTGGTGCAAGGATCTGAGGTTAAGCAGAAATTTGAGATTAGAGCTTTTCCCATTCTAATAGAGCTGATGAGACAAACACTGGAGTTCATAGCTGTCAAGGAAAATAGAATTTGAGGATCTAAGACCCCTGGAAAAAAGGAAAAATCAGAGAAGTACAAAGGTGATAAGTGGAATTAAACTATTTTAAGGTCCTTATATTTTCCACAATGTGGTAAAGTAACTCTATTAAGTTAAGGATGAATGTTGTAAGTAATAACAGTAATAAAAGTAGGCATAGATAGCATGCTTATCTATCTATCTATCTAAAATCTAAAAAAGTGATAAAAGAAAAACAAGCAAAAAACTAGTTAACAAAAAGAGAAAATGGCATTATAATAGATTTAAGTCCAAATATATTGGTAATTTTATTAAAAGTACATGAACCAAATACTCTAATTCATGATAAAAAAGTGTCAAATGGACTTTAAAGTTCAGCTATACACTGTTTAAAAGACATAACTTAAATAAAGGACACAGAAAGGATGAAGTGAAAGGATAAAAAAGATATACCATGAGAAAGTTAAGCAACGAAAGCTGGTGTATCCATATTAGTACTGCACAAAGACCAAGATGTTAAGGGAAGCAGAATTATTTCAAATAGAAGCTATAATTTATCATGATAATCCAAAGCAAGATAAAATGATCAAAATACACATATGCACCTGATAACATAGGCTCAAAATATATAAAGCCAAAACTTCAAATAGAAATAAAAGGGGAAATAGACAAATCCACAATAACAGATGCAAATTTTAAACACTTCTTTCAATAACTGTAGAAAAAATTTTACAAAATAATCAACAGAGGTCCAGTTGTAATCACAGGATGAGCAACTTGGAATGTCAATAGAACACTCTACACAACTGCAAGATAAACTTTTCAACAGCAAATGGAACAGTCTCCAAAATTTACCATATTCTTAGCCATAAAGCAAGTCTCAAAGTTTCAAAGGAATGATAGCATGCCATCATGTTTACTGACTACAGTAAAGGACAAATTATTGTTATACACTAGCAGTCATAGTCATAAAACTAAATAAATGGAGGGCTATACCATGTTATGGATGAAAGGACTCAACCCTGTAAAACTGCAAATTCTTCCAAAGTTAGTATATAGATTCAATGCAGTCTCAATCAAAATCCAAGAAGGATTTGTTGTGGAAATTGCTAAGCTTATTTTAAACTGCACATGGAAAAGCAAAGGACATGGGATAGCAAAGATTATCTCGTGGAAGAAAAAAGTAGGGGACTTGCACTACCAGATATGAGGACTTGTTATCAGTGTGTGGTTTTGACAGAAAGATAGATAAATCTACCAATAAAACAGGATAGTCCAGAAAAACAGATATGGTCATCCTATTTACAATAAAGATGCCACTGCAGCACTTTTCAATAAGTGGTACAGTCAACTGGCTATCTATACGGGGGAAATTTGAGTATTGACTGCTTTCTTACACCATATAAAGTCAAATCACAATGGATTATAAGTCTAACAAAGAAAGATGCAACAACAAAGATTCTAGTAAAAACAGAATGCCTTCATGGTGTTGGGTAGACCAAAATTTCTTAAGCAAGACACAAAAAGTGCTAATTATTAAAGGAAAAGTTTGAGTAGGCAGAGTTCATTAACATTAAGAACTTGTCTATTTAAAAACATGATTAAGAGAAAAATATCTCTAATTGTATATATTAAGAGAAATTATACATATGAAGGGACACATACTCAGAAAAAGAAAGAACTCCTACTGAAATAAATAAGAAAAAGACCAGTCAATTTTTAAAATGGGCAAAAGACCTAAAAAGGTACTTCATAAAAGAGAATATCCAAATGACTAATAATCATATGAAAAAGTGTTAAACGTCATTATTTATCAAGAAAATACAATTAAAATCACAATGATATGCCACTATGCACCCATCAGAATGACCAAATTTAAGAAATAAAAAAATACCAAGAATTGGCCAGGACATCCAACTGGTACAAATATACAGACACAATTTGGAAAACTTTTAAAGCTAAATGCACATCTACCCTATGAACTAGCAATTCTACTTCTGTATTAAATCCCCAATAGAAAGATTGTATGTGCATAAACATAATATATCATGGAATATATTATATATATACATAAAAATGATGTGTGTATATACAGACATATACATATATACTCATACACATACACCAAAAGGCACGTAGAAAATAGTGTTATTTGCAATCAACACATAAAATAGTCAAACACATAAAATGTCCATCAACAGTACAATGGATGATTTGCAATGTAGTCTCGAATAGAGTACCACAGAGACGACTGAACTGTTGATATCTGCAACAATATGAAAGGTCATAATCATCTAATACGAACATAATGTTGAGTGAAAGAAGCCGTATGTAACAGTGCAAAACTAATCCACACGATAGAAGCAGGATAGTGCCTAACATGGGTGGGCATAGAAAATAATGACTGGGTGGCGACTCAAGGGAGGCTTCTAGGATGGCAGTGTATTCTGACTCAATCTGGATGTCGGCTGCAAACATGGATTCAGTTTGTTGAGTTAATACTTATAAAGTATATGTATTTTTCTAAATGTATATTGTGCTACTATTGACAAGTTTAAATTCTGTAGTGAAACAAATATTCTTTATTCACTGATGAAGGGAGTAAACTTGGTAGAATCTTTTTTGAGGACAATTTGGTAATATTTATCAGCTGAATAATTTCATCACTAGGAGTCTGCCATACAGAAATAGTCACTAGTGATAAAGAAAATAAACAGAATAATAAATAACTTTTTGAAGCACTTATGTGTCAAGTACTCTTTATACCCTAAATGTAATACTGTATCAATTCCAATAGCCTATGACATAGGTGATGTTATCGCATTGTAGAGTGGTGTGAAAGCAGTATTACTTGTTAATAGTGAAAATCAGAAATGTGAATAATCCCCAATGATGAATAAACGTTAGCTCATTCATACCGTAA